CCGATTGAACATTGAACATTATTTCCTTCGAATGTTTCCTTTGCTCGATGAATAAGTTATCCACCAAGCACAGTGAATGCTTGATAAGTAAAGTATAACTTGACAAGTGTTGACTGATTTTTTACTCTTTTATTTTGCCAATTCATTTTGGAATATATTATCCTCTGAAATTTGTTGTACATTTTTGTGTGCGAGAGCTTTAATTAAACGAACCTAACTTAGAGATGCAAAATTTCTCAAATATACCCTTAAATTTCGTAGAAAACAACTGTGCCAACTAGCTAAAATTAACCATAGTATACACATTTTCTAATCCTTACTGACATGCCTTGATCTTCATGGATCTCTTTAAATATTAACTTCCAATTGCAATATTGACCGATTTAGAAGTTTGTTTGTAGAGTCCCGGAATCCCCAAGATATAATTGTCCTAAAGAATTTCCCACCTTCCATTCCCCATCCGATTCCCACTCATTTAGAACACTTTGCGATGATGTAGAGCACCTGCACGTCAAGGTCCTAATCCAAATGCTTACCCTACTTTCCAGCTTCCGAGGAGAACGTGTTGTCCTACGAGGCCGTGCAGCGTTTGTCCATCAACTATACGCGTCCGGTGATTATTCTGGGACCCCTGAAGGATCGCATCAACGATGACCTAATATCAGAGTATCCCGACAAGTTCGGCTCCTGTGTGCCACGTAAGTAATGCATTCTGCTTCATCGTACAGTATTTATTTTGTGGCGCCCCCGGTTGGACGGATAATTTGATATTTAACTTACGTGCGCACTATGCTTCTTTCCATTTAGACACCACCCGACCCAAGCGGGAGTACGAGGTGGATGGTAGGGACTACCACTTTGTATCCTCTCGCGAGCAAATGGAGCGGGATATCCAGAACCATCTGTTCATTGAGGCGGGCCAGTATAACGACAATCTATACGGCACATCCGTGGCCAGCGTGCGCGAAGTGGCAGAGAAGGGCAAGCACTGCATCCTGGACGTGTCCGGGAACGCAATCAAGCGACTCCAAGTGGCCCAGCTGTATCCCGTCGCCGTGTTCATCAAACCCAAGTCGGTGGACTCAGTGATGTAGGTTTTCCGCTGGCCCAGCGACTAAGTATTCTCCGTTCTAATGGTTTCGTTTTCACAGGGAAATGAATCGTCGCATGACGGAAGAGCAGGCCAAGAAGACTTACGAGCGGGCGATTAAAATGGAGCAGGAATTCGGCGAATACTTTACGGGTATAGTCCGAACATTATATAAACATGGAACACCTAGTAATAATTGTTTTATTTGCCAACCAACAGGCGTTGTCCAGGGCGATACCATCGAGGAGATCTACAGCAAAGTGAAATCGATGATTTGGTCCCAGTCGGGACCAACCATTTGGGTACCTTCCAAGGAATCTCTATGACCAACAGCCACCACAACTTGGACACTGCCGCCTCGGGTTCGATGTCGACCGGTCTCGAGAACAACAATAGGAGCAACAGCAGCAGCAACAAATCAGCAGCCGCAGCAGAAGACGCCGCACTGATGATGCATCACAGCAACAACAGATACTAATACAACTACAACAACAACAAAAACAACAGCAACAACAACAGCAACCACAGCAGCAGCCACAGCGACAACAACACCACTGACAACGACAGAAAACGGATACGGAAACGGAAACGTAACCACGGACTAAAAACTTGACGACAGACAGAACAAATTTAAAACGACGCAGCCGCAGCAGCCAACTTAATGTAGCAAATTGTCCAAAGCAATTTTTTTTTGGATGCACTCATTGATGTACGATTAGTTTAGGATAACGTACATCCACCAGCTAAACGATGATGGAAATGAGCGAACATCAGAGTAAAGCATTTGGCATTTGGCATATATGAGATGAGATATGGGTGTTCAAACTGTAGCGGACAAAGGTGTATAGTTTTTAGTTAGAACAAAGTTGGATATAAACAAAAGAAGCGAAATATAATATAATATATATATAACAATATATATATACACCACTTATATAGACTAAGATCCGATTATAAAAGCATAGAGTCGAGCAAAGATGAGGGCTTTCAGGAGTTCGTTAAGCGCTAGAGTGTTGTTTGTTTATGTTGATGTTTATATACGAGAGCCAAGAGTTATAGCGAGTTAGTTATGTTGACGATAATGTGTTTTTTTGATATATATTGACCTATATGAATATGTAATCATGCAGGCACAGGCACCCCACCCATGCACACCGATGTTTTGCCGGTGATAGTGATGTTGAGGCACAAGTGCATTGCATTGCATGGTGGTTAACTTTAAGTACGACAATGTTTAGTAGCTGACTACGAATAATGACGACGATGACGGGACGCAGATGCGGATGTGAATGCGAATGCGAATGCGGTTACGGTTGCGGTTCAAGCGGATAGTCAGAGAATGACGATAACGATTTACGATTACGATCTAATGATAATGATAATGATAAATATTATTGATGAATATTGACGCTAATGACGATGGAGAGATGAAAAACGTTGGTGCATTTGTTGTTAGATGTATGTAATTTTTCCCACTCGCCTTTGCCTAAAAGCAACACAAAAGTAAAAGAAGTAAAAGAAAAGAAATCAATAAACATGCGTATGATAAACACTAGTAACTAGCGGAAAAGTTGCATATAGAACCACAGACATTCATTTACACATCCACTTACTATATATCTGTACCATTTAGCCCATAGTCCGCAAGAGATCGTCGAAACGAAAGTCATTTAACTATAAAACAGAACATCCGCATAATATAAACTACGGCAGCAATCGATTGGATGGAAGGGAGACGGAGAACTTGAATTTGTTGTCGCGTTGATTTAAATCTATATGATGATTAAAATATTGTATATTTAACAATCTATAAAACAAATATAGTATGTAGATAATACACACACACACCAACACACAAACACACGAGCCCATACAAACACACATGGACTACCGTTGCGGTCTAATTTTATACACACCAGACAAATCGAATTGCAAATGCAAATAAATAAATAATTAAGGAAGGGACGATGGAGAAGCAGAGCTGGAGATGAGATCAACTCAAACTAGATAACTATACATATATTTGCTGTTTAATTTATGTAAACCAATATACGATTTATAGCCAACGCACAGAAATGAAAAACAAAAACCAACACATACGATATTTGTTCGAAGAAATTTAGCAAAATTCAAGTTGAGTGTTAACATTATTATTCATGCCAATATGCATATATTTAATTTTTTTTACTCTCCATCTCTCTTGCTCGCTATCTTACGAACTACTTGAAACATTTTTTTTTAATTACATTTTTTTTGTATATTGCAAAAACGTCGATGACGCCACAGCAGTAGTAGCTGTGGATATTATTTCAAAAATATATACATATAACTATTATACGAATAAAGAGAAAACAAATTCATTATAATTTTCACAATGTATGCGCCGAGAGCATTGTTATATTTAATAAACAACCTAAAACAAAAAGGACAAACAATGAAAAACTAAATAAAAACTATGCGAATAATTTCCACTCTAAACAAAAGAAAACAAAACAAAAAAAACCGAAGAAGCTGAGGAACTCTAAGTGTAATAAACTAATTAAAAATCGAACTTCTTAATCAATTTGATACATTCAACTAGCATACGGAAAGCATTGCATTAACTAACATTAAACGATGTGCAGAGGAGTTAACTATAGATAACCGCTTAAACAGGGTGACTATTCGTAGCAAGTGATTTTTTTTCGCTCAAACAAAAATATTTAAGTCACTGGGTAGAGCCTATTTTCCAAGCGGTTCTTCCGAATGTGAGGCCCCAGTGAACGAAAACCTATACCAAATTCAAATCACTTTTCCAACTAGCCTTAGATTTTACTAACAAACATGAAACCCTCGAGAACTAACTATCAAGCAATTATCAACTAGATAAAGAAAATATATTTAAATTAAAGCCAGCTGTGGCTGAGAAGGGTGACTTTCTTTTCTCACAAAAACGCAAAAAAAAAAAATTATAATACAAAAAATTATAACCTTTCGTCCCAGATGATATATATGTATCTATATCCTATCCACCACACACACGCGCGCGCATACAAAGCATGGGAAAGCGTTTCATCAAAATTGTGCCTTTTCTTTTTGTTGTTGTTGTTGTCGAATCGAATCGAATTTCGATGAAAATATACACACACATAGACACATGTACGGGCAGCTTTCGTATGGTTTCCGCTCACACTTACGTATGTACATCCCGTTTACATCACATTTACATCCTGACCCACTGCCACCCCCATGGAAAAACAAGGAAATGTTTTTTTTGCTAGTCATACACCCACGAGAAATTAGGAAAAAAAAGAAGGAAACTTTAGCCTTAGCGATCAGTAAAGAAAGTAAATCAAATTCAATTTCGTTGAAGTTCGCGAACAGACGGGCAGTAGAGCTATATATGCAATACATATATATACGATAGTGCTAAAACAAAAGAGAAAACAATGAGAAATCGATGGATAGTAATGAGTTTGAGGATTGGGTTAATATATGAATATTTGGGCAAAGACACACATGTACACCCAACATATGTACAATACTCATGTTCATGTGCGAGATAAAAATTGGAGACCCCATTCGGCCTCAAATGCGTTTTCATTATGTATTATGTCAAATGTAATTTGTTCATCAGCGGATGAAACACTCGCCCACACCCCAGAAACACACTCGAAATAAACCGTAATAAAAATACGTAATCATATGCCTGGCATTTTCACTATTTAGTTTTCATGAACTTTTTATATAGACCTTAAATTTTTGCCAAGTTCCAGAGGAGTCTTCACTTTCTGTAGCATACTTTTCAGGTTACATTTGAAACTCACGGTTTTGCCATTATTTTCTTTGTATTATGACAGCAGTTGTTGAAATCGATCAAAAAGATATTTACAATTTTAACAGCTTATCTGGGCAGGCCACATATTAGCTGTCGTTTTGCTTAGGTTTGGCTTCAAAATTAAGTTATGGACTCGATTAAACGAACGCCAACGTGAAATTCGGTTTCAAAATTCCCCATCCGTTCTCCTTTTCTTCATTTTCGCGTTTCAGCTTGGGTTGGCAATCACCATGGCCTATACCATCAAGTTGGACTGGATAAGGAGGATCCTGAACCCCTGTGGCACCCGACAAACTCGTCTAATGCGTAGGGCTCATTAGGTTGTTTCCCATTTAGCATATTTATATAAGGGTTGTATCTAATCCTCGCCAGATGATGATGGTAAGACGCAGATCTGCAGCCAGAGTCCCTGGAGACGCCTGATGCGACTGACCAGGAATAACTCAAGCAGTACTTCTGGTGGTAATGAGCCCCGCAGGCTGGACACCAATAAACCGAAGCCCAGTAACAAGCAAATCTCGTACAGCGAACGGCAAACACCTTTTGGGAACAACACATACAAAAATGGTTGGTACATTGTTTAAAATATCAAAATTGCTTGGAATTTAGAATAATATAGGTACACAAATACCGTAGCTAACCTGGTTAGAATGCATCCTTTAGTCAGAGACGAGGACAAAAGGACAACGAAGCATAAGCGACGCCTTCCCACAGAGAAATCAGCAACAATGAGGTTACATAATGCGCAGAGAAGAGCGGAGCAACTGGCCAGGACCCTGCGATCCAAGGATCCAAGTGGCTCTCCCTCACCGAACTCCACCATACCGCTCAAGATTCTTGAAATGACCCAAAGGACTCATACGATCTCCTCACAGTTGGTAATTGATGCGATGAGGACCAGGAATATGGAGAGGATGGTGCGCAAGTCGGAGGCCAGGATGTTGAACGAGCGGGTGAAGAAGCTCTTCGAGAAGCAGAAGGAAGCAAAGGCGGAAGGCAAGGAGCGGCAGCCGGAAGGTGACTTCACTGTTCCCGAATCAAAGATCATGGTGCCGGAGCAGCGGCAACTGGAGGTCAAGGCGGTGGTGCAATTGCTGAAGAAGGCCATCACCCTGGTCCATTTCAGCCACGAGGAGCAGGCCAATGTGAAGGATGTGAGGATCTCCAGGATGCAGACCAAACTGGACATAGATGGCCTGCATCCTTGCTGCAGCTCCATTGATTCCCTTGCCATCAGTGGCAAGCCGCAGTCCTCCCAAGCCTACCACATGCGCATTCGCTGCCCCAAGATTCCGGTCCCCAGGAAATCGGAAGTCGAAAACAAATCCAACTCTCGGGCAATAGCCGCCAGTCTCATCAAGGAGGAGCAGAGGCGCCTGGATCGTTTGAGGGCGGAAAAGGTGCAGTTAGTCTGCTCCAAGAACAACACAAATTTCGGTTTTATTAACAGGAATGCAGGGTATCACAGGCACAGGCAAGCAAAGTCCACCGATTCTGACGATTCCTCCAAGCCTACAGATTTGGACATGAACTCCCTGATTATTGATCCCAAATCGTTTCTCACAAAGGTGCTCGATAAGAAGGAAATTGTGTCGCTTGATCAGGTTAATAACTTCGCACTGGACACCATGGAAAATCCAGATGTCTTCTCAAAGCCACTGACCAAAAAACCAGAGCCTAAGTCCAAGAAAGCACCTGCTAAACTTTTGCCGCAATGAAATCGCAACCAATAAAGAACTTGTTGAGAAATGTAATAAAATCGATCGAAAATGGCCGTGACTGGACTTTATTTCACAGTTCATTTATTTCTTACGATGATTCTTAGTTTAATGCCTTTAGGTTCCGCAGTCTTTCGTGCAATGAGTCCATAAGCTCCGAGTTCTGCATTCATTTCACCAGATATCTCGCCACATCTAGATTATCCTGGTAATTAACTTAAGTGCGGCAAACTGCTGATTAAGTGCTGATGGCACCAGGGAAATGCTTGCTTTGGATGGCTAAGTTAGCCTGGGATGTAGCCAATTTGAATGATTATGATGCCATAGGACAAGCTGCAGCTTATCAAGGCGAAGGCACATCGCATATCCATCCTAAACATGCCCAAAACATTGTTCTCTGGCGAGGCTCGTCTAATTGCTCGCCTCAAAACGGACATTTCCCACTGGAATAATGAATACAACATAAATTATTACTGTTTTCTAATATTTACAAATAATTTCAGCACTTGAATTGTATTATTCGAGCTGGGAAAAGAGTGGTATACCTGTCTGTAAGTCCTCCTGGAAGAAGCCGCATTCTGTGGACTGGCGCAGATATGGTTTTGCTCCGCCAGCAGCTTTTCACAGACGATCTGCAGGAGGAGCACGTCCCACAGAATGACCAAGAAGGAGTCGGCCGTGAGCAGCATCTTCAAGCCCCTGCCACGCAGGCCCACCGGGTCGTGCTTCTGGATGAACATGGTGTAGCCCAGGTAAATGGTGGCTGTGTTGAAGAACACTAGGTAAAACAAGGCTATCGTCACCAGCCAGGCGAACCTTCGATGCACCCGCCTCCCGATGCTCAGCAAACGCTCCTGTCTGCGCAGCAGGTTCATGAGGCCGCTGTAGGAGCTGTGCTCCTGCTGGCCATTCAGACGCAGTGCCTCCGACAGGCTGAGAAGCAGCAGAACATAGACCACCTGGGTGGCATCCCTGGCCAGCGAGTTGTAGACGAAGTAGAGATTGGCCAGCAAATCCCAAAAATTGAAGGGTCGTAAGCCCCAATGGACGACGGCACTCAGCCCAAAGTTCATGTTGTGCATGAAGTTGTGCACCTTGGCCAGAAACGCCAGGCTGAAGAAGCGACTGTGCTCCGTGAGCTTCAGCTCCTGCTCCAAAATCCTAGACACCTCATTGTACGTCTGGCACACCTCGCGTTCAAATAGAAGGTGCAATGCAATGTTGGTCACCATCATCATGAGCTGCTGGAATACGTTGAAGGCTGTCACCTGCAAGTTGTTTACAATTAATTACCAAATATTTTATAATCGCACTGCTGCACTTCAGGTGATCAAAGTCCATCTCACCTGATTCACGAATCGTTGGCGCCTAAACATGGCCTTCAGGAAATACGTTCTGGAGTATCTGTAGTAGGCGTAGAACGCCATCAAGTTGATGGCCATTAACAGCCAGTTGAATGTCTGCAAGATTCGGGAGTGGACCAGACGCCGTCGAGTGGGACTGTAGTAGTGGCTGGAGAATCCCAGCACCAGGATCAATCCCATCCAGAAGCGCAGAGCCAGGCGGCACAACTTGCCCACTCGCATTGCGGCCGGCAACTAACTTGGTGGCCATGTGACCTCGTCCATCGTCCCGAAAGTAGCGTCCTTATCTGAACATATGCACAATTGAACTGCTATCTGCAAAGGACACACCTCATTCAAGAGAAGAAACCCCACTGCTATTAGTTAAACGCTTTTATTCCGACGCATCATGAACAAGTATTTGTGGTTCTATTTACTATAAAAATGTTGCACACATCATTTATTATAAATTCGGATTCCTTTGTTCTCTTCGTAGAAACATTTACTAGGACTTCTTGCGCAAATAGAGATCAAACTGCACCAGGGTTATGAAATAGGAAAAGGCGGTGACAGCAATGAGGTACATCAATCGGCGATCCAGGTGCAAAAGGCCACAGAGCATGGGCGGTTGGTAGTTGAGCAACTCCAGCGAAAGGTGTTCTATCTAAACGAGATTTGAAAAAGCTGTTTAAAAGCCAAGTAAATGTGAAAATTCGATAAGAACCGGTTGTCTACGTTAAATAAGAGCGTGGTTAAACAAGGAGCTTCTACTTATTGAGCAACACTAACTACGTGAAACTTTTTGACGAATTTTGAGAATTCAATTTTTGGCAAATATTCGATATTTTCAATGGGAATTTTCTTCATAACTTCGGTTAAAATGACCATAAAGATGAAAGAATTACTGTTTTGAACAGCTTATTATCCCTGCTAACTATCCCTTTCACTTTTTGAAGGATTTTGGAAAAATAATTTTTGGGTCAATTTTCGCATTTTCGATAAGGGGTCTCATCATCAAAATTTGCAAAAAATTGCAAAAAATTCGCGTTTCTATTTTTGAATGCAGTTCGATTGGAAATTTAATTACGAGCTCAACGAGGTATAACATTCCATATTCAGACAATTATTTTTGAAGTTGTGGCCAAAAAACGGATTATTTTATGACCCAAATTCGAAAAAACGGATTTTGGCAAAAATTCAAATATTTTTGATGGGCATTTTAATCATAACTTGGCTAAAAATGATCGTAAAGAAAAAAGAATAACTGTTTTGATCAGCTAATTACCAGTGCTAACGACCCCTATCACTTTTTGAAAGATTTTGGAAAATTCATTTTTCGGCCAATTTTCGCATTTTTTGTAAGGGGTACCATCATCAAAATTTGCAAAAAATTGCAAAAATTTTTTTTTTTCATTTTTGAACGCAGTTCGATTGGAAATTTAATTACGAGCTCAACGAGGTATAACATTCCATATTCAGACAATTATTTTTGAAGTTGTGACCAAAAAACGTATTATTTTATGACCCAATTTCGAAAAAACGGATTTTGTCCAATTTTGAATGCCAATCGATTGGAAATTTAATTACGAACTCAACGAGGTATGGCAATCGATATTCGGACCATTATTTGCCAATATTCGAATCACCTGTTTGTTATATATTCTTTTCATATACAAGTACATATGTATGTCCCTGCAGACAGTGGCTCACCTCCCTGGTCAGCCGCTCATCCAGTTCCCGTGGCTCTGCGAATCTCCGCATGGTGAGGGCCACCGCCTCCAGCTCCAGTTTGATGTGCTCATTGGTCAGGGTCACAATATAGGTGTCTATGTAGAAGCCCGTGGCGTAGACCGAGCCCACAACCACCGGATAGCTGACCTCCTCCAGCGTTTGCTTGGCCAGCATGTGGAACAGGGTGTAGAAGTTGGTCAAGTTGTTGATGAGTGTGCTCAGCATGAGTCCGATCAGCTGGAACTGGTGCATGCGAAAGCTCTCGCGCTGCAGGCCGTGGATCTCCCGGCATCTGCCTCTCAGCTCCTCCAGGCGATCGCTGAGCTCACAGCAGTGATGGAGCAGCATTCCGCCGGGTCTCAGTCCATCCATCTCATCCCTGAGCGAACCTAGCTGGAGATTGAATTGCCTGTAGTACTTGAGCACCGATCCGTTGATCCAATAGCAGTAATCCGCCATGTTCTCCGTGTAGTTCCACAGCACAAAGGCGTAGATCGCAAAGTGGACTCGCACCTGGCTAACCGAACCCTTGCCGCCTTCGCCGTACTGGGCAAATATGCCGCACACTTGGATCATCATCATCAGATTGATCAGGCAGAACTTGAAGTACATGAAGAACTCGAACGGCCGCTTGGGCTCCTGTGGAGCGCTCCTGAACTCGTCCTCCAGATGCATCCTCTGCATGGTGCATCTCTGATTGATGCCCTCAAAGTGTACGGTGTTGGCCACATAGGTCACAATTACGGTGGCATATTTGATGGCCGTGTTGGCAAAGCTCACGTAGAACAGCAACTGCAAGCGCCGATCCAGGGTATCAGTTAAGGTGCGAAAGTGGTAGCAGAAATACCCGGGCAATACCACAATCAGCAGCATGCTGAACAGGTGACCATATGCAATTAGCAGCACCTTAACGCCACGTCGCAGCGCCCTTTGTGGCACATAGTCGATCACCACTTGGCCGTAGATCAGGGCGTACACATGTCCGTACTGATAGAACTTGAATTCGTGTCGCTCCCAGAAACTCTTACGCTCATCCGGCGAGGTCATTCCGGCCAGGCTTCATCCAGCAAACTGAGCAGCTCCTGTTTGTTGCGTGATTTGGGGTACCAAGTGGATAGGAGGTGGGCTCGACTCAGCGCCTGATTATTGGAGATCTGCGATATGGTGGGCTCGAAAGGGTAGATAATCTCCTGCTAAGTTTCTGTTGCACAGGAAAACTCGATATATGGTAATAAAAAAAACAAGCTATTCGATTAAAATAAAGTACAAAAATTGGGGAAATTACAAATTTACTGAAAGGACTTGACCAGCGCAATAATAGACCCCGAAGTGTGAAGTATCTGCGGATTATTGAAAAGCAGGTGCCATTTTATTTGTTATGTTGAATATTTTGGTAAGGAAACTTACCGCAGCGAAGGTGGCCAACGAAGGGGAAAAGAATGGCACTGCCATGGAAATGGGACGCTGGGATCTGAGGATCAGGAGCTGCACAAGTCGACGTTGTTGGGGCTTGAAGAGCTGCCACGGACAGGCGAACATAGTTCGGCACAACTCCGTGCTCTGTAAGCCAAGCAGTTTAAGCTGGATGAAAGCCATAGAATGTATCTGAACTCACACTTTCGGCCACCAGAGTGCCGCCATAGCAGTAAACCAGCAGTTGGCTCAAGGCGGCGATGGTATAGGCCACGTAGAGCAGGGCTCCCAGCCCATTATTGCCCATCGCGAGGAGATTGACCATGCTGAATCCAATCACCATGGCGGCGGAAACGAAATGGGCCAGGGTGATAATGGTGTAGCGCTCCCGGAAAAATCTGGCCAAATTGATGATGGCATTGTGCCTGATGATTACCGAACGCATTTTCCGCTCCAACGTATACAGCTGCACTGGCGACAGATCCAGATGATCTTCAAGAATAAATCGAGTAATTGTAATATTTTCTTGCAACTTGTGCCAACCACCCACCGCTGTAGGGCCTAAAGATTGATTCTATCTCCGCCTGGAGCACTTCGAAAAGCGCCGATAAGTGAGCGCAGAACTCGAAATAGAAGCCATCACAGCCGCCAAACATAAAGATGGTCACATAGCCCGTGTAGGCAGTAAATATGTAGGTCAGGGGAAAGAAAGGAGAGCTGAGCAGCACTTGGGGCATTCTAAAGGGAGGAGGATTCAGTGCGTCACGATTTTACAACAAATTTAGCTGATCTCACGTCATATTGAAGGGCGTGAACCAGACGAAGTCCTCGCAACGATTCTGGAGCCACAGGACCAATGCGATCAGGACCGGCTTCAGGTTGTAGGTGGTGCAGGTGAAGAATCCGGCCGACAGGGGCCAGAAGTTGATGCGGGCCGCCATGGCCGAGCACCTCAACCGGATGTCCCGCTGCTCGGACTGCCTCCAGTTGGGATCGAAAAGCAGGCACCTCAGGCGGTGCCACATGGTCGATAGATCCTGGCGAAAGCGCAGCATGAGGAACATCTTGAGCAGCGTGACCGCCGAGGTTCCAGCTGGACAGAGGGTCTCCAGTGCCAAGGTAATCTGCTGTTGGCCTAGACAACGCATCCCAGCATGCAGTTCCGTCGCCACGCCGATGGCCAGGATCACGAAGTGAATCAGCGCTCTCCTGGGCAATTTATCCCCAATGGGCCAATAGCCCATTATATTCAAACTCAGACGGGGCACTGCGAAGAAGTACACATCCAGCTGCTGATCGCGCTTCAGAAAGCGAAACCACTTAGACATGGTGGAGACTACTTTTGAAACACATCCTGGCCAGGAATACTCCTTATATAGGCAGCTGTAGCGCTATTCAGCCAGCTAATTGACTTGTTATTCGGTGAAAGTTTGGCCAAGTTTGTGCAGCAACTTTTGCAATTTGGTGACCCCGACAGGTGGTGCACCTACTCGATTCCTTGGACTCGGCAGCGCCACGTAGTACACATGGATCAGTTGGAGGACAGGCCCAAGTGGCCGGGAACGAGTCGCAATCAGAGCTAATGCATCAATTAGCGCTAGCCGCTAATTTCAGCAATCAACATACAAACAAATCAAGATTAAGGCACTCGGACATCGGACTCGGCGAATTCGTGCGTTTTTAACTAATCTCTAGTCCACTCACGCACAGCATGAGGTTTCAGGAGCGGATTCGGGTGGCTTTGGATACCATCTATTGGAAATTATCAGGAATATGGTTAGGGCAGTGTTCAAATATTATAGATGAGTGGAGTTTCCACCGATTGCAGTGGATTATCTCATCAATTTTCTTGTAACTGCTGCTTTGTTTGCAAACAAATGCCAGTTTTTATCACAATCAACCCATACTAAGCAGCTAGAACTCGAAGAGATGACCTTCTTGAGCCACATTGATAAGGGGCGTAATATCTCCCACATCGTAATAGTTGGCCTTATCGAAAGCAGATTGGATATAAAACTATATTGATTGTATCGCGTGATTCTGGTGAGTGCAGTGATGTATGCAGGGGTTGGATTGGTTGGCAGAAAAGTGGAGTAACATTATCCTCAGTAGCCCAAGGGAAACCAGTTTACCTTTGAGTAGCTGTGCTAAGCGAGCTGGCGAACTGGATGGTACTGGAGTTGGAGTTCGGGAACACCTCAACCTCCCGCCCAGTGGAATCCGCACCTGTGCGCACCTGCGGAGTCATAAATCATGCAAACCTGTCCGCCGCTGTGCGTTTGAGTTTGGTTCTCGAGTGGGACCACTGGTGTATTGAGCTTTTTTGTCAACGCCACAGACGAGTCCAAGTTATTTTACCCCTTTATACCACTTTTTATGTAGTATGTATACTTAGATTGGCGGCGCACGTTCCCGGCCCGGTGACGTCAGCGATGGTTTCGGTTGGCTTTTTGGATCTTAGTTCTTAGTTTTTGCGTGTTTTATTGGATTTAAAAAAAAAAAGCCGCGACGCCATCGAAAGTCGATCCAGAGAAGGTCACTCAAAAGGTTCTTCTCCTGCTTACAATCGAAATATTTGCTATATCCTCGAGGGATGTGTGGCCATATAATCTAATTGTTAGGTGATTAGAATAAGAAGAACAAAAGTGTCTTTCATAATATGTATAATAATATAAAATAGCCGAATTAATGGGCAATTTGTAGCTTAGGGTCCACCACCCTCGCAATTGCAAGGGCATCAAATTGATTTAAAACACTGGATGATAGTAATGATGATGGGTAAATTGCCTGATTCGCGGGATTGGGATAGATTTGATGGGCATAATTGCAGCGGCAGTGCCGAGCACCGCAAATGGCTAGCAAATTGAATCAACGCCAATTGGCCAGCCGTCAGTGGTTGCCCCTTTTCCATATGCATTTGCTTATTTTTTTCATATTTTTCACTGGGCTTAGCATCAGCAAATCGCAGCTTCCTAGCGACTGAGGTAGCCACTGGTGTCCCCTAAGCCGCTAAACACGCAGACTCACTGCTTAACACGCAACACAGGTACAGTGAGGCCCCAAAATGAATAACTCTAAGCTTAAACTTGCAGTTCCCTTGTCATTAAAATGAAGAAAGAAAGAAACAATGAAATGGCAAAACTTTGTATAATACTTGCAATGATATGATATATGATATATTATATGATATATTATATCATATATCATTGACATTAGAACTTTACTAGAACTGCTTGAAACAATAATACTTATAATACTTGCAATTGTATATGATATATTATATCAGATATCATGGATATTGGAACTTTACTAGAAATGCTTGACACAATTGAAATGGCAAAACTTTTTATAATACTTGCAATTGTATAGTATGATATAATATATCAGATATCATGGACATTAGAACTTTACTAGAAATGCTTGAAACAATAATACTTATAATACTTGCAATTGTATATGATATATTACATCAGATATCATTGACATTGGAACTTTACTAGAAATGCTCAAACAAGGAGTAGTGATATGCTATCAAGGATCTAGCAAAGCCCAGAGTTCACTGTAGCTGCACAGATCGCGAAAGAGGGTAGCATTCCCAGCACTCAGCTCAATTGAGATGGCCTGATACTGTTTGGAAGAGTCACCCGTATCAGCCGCCTTAATTCGGCACAAATGAGGAGCAAGGGCAGAGGTTTGGGGTAGGGAATATCCGATCACGCCGTTCTGCTGACGTATGACAAGCCGAACTAGAGCAAACCCAACTGAGCTGGCACCCCAAACATCCCAGAGCCAAAAACAATGCGGCGGGCATATAGTGCACATGACTATTAGATAAGTTTATTATAGAATAAATAAGCGTGTGGTCCCGAAACTGAAACCGAACGCGACTGCGAGTGCGAATGCCATAAAGAAGTTAAGCAATTCAGACAGTTTAGAGCATAAATTGTTTAATAGAGTTTATACGCCAATTGGGGGCATAAAGAGTGTCGCATTTTATAATTCGGTTTTTTTTGTTTTTTTTTCTCATTCTGCTGTTCACTTCGAACTGCAGACGCCCATCCGCTAGAGCAGACTTTCCAGATAAGCGGCTAGAAATACGTAACACTGGTAAAGTTCAGGGTTCCCGGCGGCGAATCGAAGCACTAAAGCTGGTGGCACTTCCAATCTTTGACTGGCAGCTGCTATCGTCCATCGGGCGATGAGTTATGCAACTTTATGACGGTCCTCAAGTGGCCAAAACCCAAACAGAAGAAACTTAATGCGAAAAGAACAAAATCCACTCGATCAGCGATAATCATTGCTAGAAAATGGCGCCACATATTTCGGTGACCCCCATTAGGGTTCTGATAATGAGTCCAGAATATTACGTGGAATTCACTGTAACTGCAACATTTTAAAGACGTAATAGTCAGGTAATACAACAAATAATAATAAACAGAGCTGCTCTTAGTCATCATCCCATTGAATGGACTCATGTAAACGTAGCAGTATTTAATTGTCCAGTAGGGTGCAAAGATGAAATATAAATATCATACAGTGAAGATAACGAAACAATACGAAATGTGACACCAACTATTAAGACTCACTTCATGTATTATCTCTATTTCCCGTCGCCGGGGATCTAGCCCAGAATCGGATCCAACCGAACTGGTGACCCCGATGAACTGACGCCGGTCGGTCGGAAAACTGGCGCCCAACGCGGGGCCTAAAAATAGACCAAATGCCCGATGATGTTGGGCCTCGATGATAAATTGCGTCGCTTGATGATCGCCAATTAAAGTGGCGAAATTAATGCGAAATATGAGAAGTGGTAATGCCAATTCAAATTCCCCAATTACCACAGTCTGCGCCAATCAATTAGTCATATATATGTGTATAAATGGGAGACTATATAGTTTCCGTTGCCTTCACCTACTTACCGCCAACTGAACGCCGCTTATCGAAGCCACGCGTCGCTAGCTCTTCTTCTAGCCGGATATTTTCGGTGGGCCACCTCCTGGGCCCGTAATCTTGGCCAGCTTGCCAAGTTCGAGACGCTATCGCAGATCAAAGTATTTCGCGTTCTGTTTTTCCTTTATTTTTGTTTAGCTTTACGGGCTTTATGGCCCTGCGATTCCTGCCCGTCGTCTAAGCCAATTTGAATGCAACCGGCGAGAGAGAGGCTCGTGAAAAAGCCTCGTTAAATGCGAGCAAACACCAGAAGACGGACGACGACGACGACGACGACGATCGACGGACGGATCACGGAGGCGGTGGACAAAGGCGGGGGGCAGTGGACGGAGTGGGGTGATGACCGCAATGGAAAACGCATGCGCAGTTCACGTGATAGCCAGATAGTCAGAGTTGGCAAATTAGCCGATTTTCTCCGAAGATTGCTAGCCAACAAATTTGGAAGCAAATATTAATTTGATTAAAAATTTAAATACTTATATCAATAATTCAACTGTTAAATATACATAGGGAACCATATAGGGAAACACCTTGAAACAAAGCCTAATTAAAGATATCTCGTTAATATTACGCATACGCCCTGTGGTCTGCGTTGATTCGCGAAATTGAATTATTTATAAACTACAAAATTGTCATTAGTATCTCTTAAATGATTAAATGAGGGCTTGTGATTAATTTACTCAAAATTGCGAGAAACTCAAAGTGACTTATCACTCATACGCAGTGTTGACCAACTTTGATAAGCACATTCAGACACGTGATTTATGAATGATTTAATGATACATCGCTGAAATTACGCATTCATTTGAACGAAAAGGAAGTACTCAGGGCATTTCAAGCCAAATTCCTAATTTTTTTGCCATCTCTGAGCCGATTTGAAGACGCAGCCGACGATTAATAGAAAATTATTTCACGTTTGACTGTTTGTTGAGTTTTATGTTCGGTTTCGACTGGCCGGCAAATATGTTAATTGTGCATTTAAAATTGAAATAAAATGTTGCTTGTCGCAATTTATTTGATACGTAAAATTGTTGTTTCTTTTGACCGTCTGCCCGTCCAGACGTTTTTGTTTGCGTTTAAATTTAGATCAACTGGCGAATGCGTTACACCCAAGGAGAAAATGAGTTTATCGAATTATATATATCCATTTGAGCGATTCAAATGTAGTAAAAAGGGTGCAAATTAGCTATTGTAGTTAATAAATTGATACAATGTGAGGTAAGAGAATAGAATGCCTTGGCCGGTTTTCTAGCACCTCTATAGTAGGAACAACGCCATGAGAATCGCATTTTAGCTATAACATGGCAGTGGCTTGTCAAATATGGTAAACAGCCCTGATAAGTTGTAAATTCCGGTCAGTTTGCATTACCACCTAGAC